GTATCCTAGGATGTAGGATTGCTATGATAGTTATATGTGTGATTTATTGTTTATATGTCGACATATGGGTGTTTAGGTTGAGACTGGAAGTCAACATACCCGATATGGTGAGGTTGAGGCCACGTGCCAACAAACCTGGATGGTTGGGTTGAGGTGCTACTACTCTGTGTTGTAAACCAAAAAACCTGATATGATTAGGTTGAGGTCAAGGACCAACAAACCCTGTATGCATGCTTGTGTTATATATGTAATTGTTTGTATTATGGGGTATTTTGGGAAGCTCACTAGGCTTTGTCTTACAGTTTGGATTTCAATGTTTCAGGTACTTCTAATGAGCGGGGAAATGCGAAGACATGATTGTACACATCATCCCATTGTTTATGTTGATTGATACTTTGATTCGATGTTTTGACTTATTATGATTTGTAAACAATGTTTTGGTAACTTTTGGGATTATGTATTTGTGTTTTAAAATGAAAAATTTTACTTTGATTTTGGGACGTTACATTAAAATTTTACAAATTGTCTATAAGCAACTTTCACAAAACAGCATAAATAGTCCTTATAAAAAAAACCAACCTATCAGATTCGTCCAATAGACATGCACAATAAGGACTATTTGTGTCCAAGGTTTGTTCAATAGGGACCATCTCAAGGAAAAAAATTTCATACTGACCATTTCAGAAACAAACAGAAAAACAAAATTACCATTTGTAAAATTTTGTCTAAATAAAACTTGTATCAAATTTAAAATTAGAGAAATTAATTATTTTCCTATTTATTATTTCTATCTATTCTTTTACCACTCTTAAAATCATTTGATTAGACTCTAGAGATTAGTTATTGATTCGTATTATTTGATCATCGTCCTCGTTCCAGTGGCATTACTAATATGACATGTAAAAAGAAGGCTGCAAACATTGGTGGTAAGCTTGTTGTAATCACCACCGGCCCTTTAATGGGTTTAAATTATGCTCTGATCCTGATGACCGTGAGTTTTCTACTGGTTTATGTGTAATATTCTAATTTCTAATCATAAATATAGTAAAGTAGAGAAAGAGCTTTAATCTTTGTTCATGGCTTATGATATAAGGTGATAATTTGTGTATTAGGTTATGTGTGTTCGAGAACCAATAAACGGATTGATGAAGTTCTTTGTTTACTAACTTTTCTGCTTTATTGTTTTTCTCTAATTTCTGGATATAATCTTGACGAAGATGAATGATGGACTTTGTAAACTATTGATATCCAAATCAAACAATATTATTGGAAATTATTCAAAATTGATGAACAATATTGCAACGGAGTTTTGCAAACGCTTAAGGTAGTAGTCATGTCCACCATTAAAAGCATGGAGAGGTACTAATGTATTGCTGAATTGAAGAAAGGAGGTAAACGTTGGCTTCATGGTAAGTTTTTTGAAACAAAAATATTCTCTCTCTCTTAAATATTTATAGATTAAAATTAGGGCTATAAATGTCAATATATAATTTTTTCAGTGGAAGGATAAAAAGCCTTCGGTGGAAAAATCACCACCCTTAGATTAAACATCTTTTATTGATAATATATGCACAATAAATGAAGACAACAACAAAATCATATGCAAAATGTTGATTTACCTCGAAGTTTTCCCCTTTCCTTTTCTGCTTTTTATTAATTTTGTTTTTAGTGTTTATCCTTTTTACTTGACATATTTGTATTGTTATTTGAAATCATTATAGGTATAGCTTTTTGTTAGTTTATAAATTAAACTCATGGCATGTTTTTAAAAGCTTTCGTAAACTTTTAACTTTTTCTTTAAAATAAATTCGAAAAAAATGTTGTTTAACAATAGAAGTTTTTACCTTTTATTTTAAACAAAGAAGTCATAATCCAAAAATAATTCAAGATTTTACCTATTATACCATATTTACAAGATTCCCTTTAAAAATATATTCTTTATATATTATTTTAAACAGTTATCTTTTATGTAATTTATACATTTTAAAATCTTTCAATTATTTTTGTCAAAATCTTGTATACCTATAAAAGTTATAGTTTCTACCTACGAGCTATCAACTAAGAGTTTCCTTTAGTTTTGTGAAACATATTCTATAGTTAAATGACAGTTGTAATGGTATTCAAGGGACACTATTTTTTAAAAATATACGTAGCTATTATAAAAGTTATTTTATACGTGTAGAATCTCAAAAGAAAATGCCAAGATGGCGGTTAAGCGCTAATTACGTTTTTCTTTCCTTTTTGTTCTAAAATTTTACATTAAATTTTTTTAAGTTTCTGAGATGATTTCAAATCAATAGAAGGACAAAATCAAATACAAAGAATGAATATGTTTTAGGTAGGATATGATTAGAAGTGTTTGTCATCTAAAAACATCCTTAAACCCTTATAAAAACTTGATTGAACCCTTGTGACAGAGAGAGCGAAATAATGGGAAGATGTGGGAGGTGATGAAGAGATTGAAGATCGACATTAAGGAAATTAACGGAGCCTAGTATGTTCGATTCTGCAACTGAGAAAGAAAGATTACGGAGAATGTAAAGTGTTAAAGTGAGAGGGTCTCACTTTAACACTTTACATTCTCCGTAATCTTTCTTTATGTATTCAATATATGTAAGAAACAAAAAGGTAGGTTTGTATTCACTAAAACGATAGAAGATATGTTAAACATTTAAACAGTATATTTGTAGGATTTGACAGCATTTGATTAAAAATATATAACAAAATTAAGTTTGAAAATAAGAAAGAGGGAGGGGAAGGGAAGCAATGGTGAGGTAAGGATTAGGCCATCAGTACATACATCGGACGTCATATCCAGAGCATTTAAAAGTCAAACCTTTACTCAAGGTTTGTTTCCACTTAGTATCTTAAATTAAAAACATATTTACTTACTTACTTTTGTAATACTAGTTTTCTTGTAAATGAGAATTTAAATAAAAAAAAAAATCAAGCTTTTATGTTTTGTAGAAAAATGATTTTGTTATAAATACGTTTTTTTGACATTACGGATATATATATATATATATATATATATATATATATGTATATATATATATATATATATATAGAGAGAGAGAGAGAGAGAGAGGAATGATCATTTGAGAACTCAAAGTTTTCCGAAAACCCGAGAACTAAAGGTGGAACGTTGGATCAAAAAAATAAAGGATCGAAATGCAAGGTGGCGTTTTTGTAAATAAGTAGACAAAAAAGGAAGGAGGGGTATCTTAATTAATTTAGTCAGCGGTATTATAGAAATAAAAGTATACTTAAATGATTTCTTAAATCTAATATCTGATAAAATAAATTTTCATCTCTCTTTCCTCCCCATTTTCCTTTCTCGCTCAAACCTACGATTCATCCTCCGACGACTCACCTCCGTCGAATTGCCTCTAATCCTTCATCCAATTCCATGCTTTCGATTCTGAAATTGCTTCTACTCGCACGAATACGGTGAAGATAAACGATCGATTTCCATATCCCAATCGATCAAACTATCATCATCGATCATCAATCTATATGAAATCTGAAATCCCCAAATGATCGAAGTTTCATTGTTGCTGAACTCCTTGATCTCACGTTCTTCATAGAAAAAACTCCACTGAAGATGCTTTGATTTTGAATCGTTTATCCTCCATCAATTCGTTCCCCGGAGTACACCGTAATCGCCGACTTCATCTCGGCCTCCACTATGGATTGAAGACCTGAACGAAGAAGATGATCCCTTGTCGATCAAAATTTAGGTATCATCTGTTTCTATTGTTGACTCCTAACCTTTGTTTGACCTTTATGAATTATTTGTGCCTAATCGTTAAGTTGAACCTGTTTAGTCAATATGTTTTTAAAAAGAGTTAAATCTTTGTGTTGATTGTAGGTATAAAAATAGACACCTATGTTATTGAAAAATATAGATATTTGTTTGCACTCAACATGTTCGATGAAATGCCTCAATGAGAAATATCACATGTTAACTTCACTTTGACTTCATGAATGATGATTTAATTCCAATTTAGGATTCTGAAGAATTTTTTGGTTATATATTTAGAAATGCAGGACATATTTTTATTTGTGGAAGATTGCAGTCTTTTGAGCATAGAATATAATGTCAGAAACTAGTTGTCTTCCACAAATAAATTTTCATAATACAATTTAAATGGATTAAATGCTCCTCAGGTACATGTTTTAATTTTATTTACTTCTTCTGTTGTCATCTTTTGCTCTTATGATACACATGCTACAACAAAAGATCCTCCTGCCTCATGGTAATTAGTAATATCTATTTGATGTTAGAATTATGAGTAGAAGAGATTAGGAACTTGTTAGAATGATGGTTTTTGTTTGGACTTGGTGATGAACAAACTTCCTGTTAGTAAATAGTTAATATAGAACTAAAATTGTTAAATGACTGTGAGCTCCTTTCTCAAATATTTAAATAATCTTTTTTTTTTGTCAAACAATATTGGCAGGAAGAAGTTGGAAAGAGGCAAGAGAGCAATTTATTTGATGGGCGCTTCCTTGTTAGAAACATGCAATGGTATTTGACTATATGTTTTGTCTCTCAATTCTTACTCATTCCTTTTAATATAATATTAATATTAATATTAATATTAATATTCAACAGTGAATTCACACAGCCCATATGGACAAAGTATTTTATATTAATATTAATATAAATATTCAACATTGAATACACATTCTGTTGTACACTTAGTAGGAAATATTGATGGAGATACAGATGAGTGTGCAGTTTGTGTGGGAACAGGAAAATGTCGTCTTCATTGATTTATATATATATATATATATATATATATATATATATATATATATATATATATATATATATATATAATTTAGATCTACCTATAATTTTTTAAATGTTGTGATGAAAGAAAATCTACAAACAAAGTTTTAATTTTCAGGTAGAATAATTTTTTTTATTTGTATAATCACTCCAAGTCATCAGAGTAAATAGAAACGTTCGTTATGAGTTCATTTTATCTCATATGCTGTGTCATCATCCTCCTCCTTTATGGCAGATTCCAAGTAAACTTTATTTGTGTCCTTTTATATTAATTGTTAAAACATTTGATTTTGTATAAATTTTGACGATATTGTAACAAAAATGAAACTTGTGTTTTGACCATTTTGTTAGGAGCTGGTTTCGGATATTGGCTGGTGAGGAAATATATTATTTCTGAAGATGGAGAAGTTGATGTTCGAGTTGCAGTCACATGTATTATCCTGGTAGGTTACAATATGCATTAATTAAACTCATATTTCCAAAAGTGGTTCATGATTTAATGAATTCTATGTTTTACTTGCTTATATCTGAGGCTTGTGTTATCTTTTTCAGAGCACGAAAGACACCCCTTTGGCAATGGCTGCAGTGGGGTCTTGTTTGGGTGTATACTACATGATCACGAAGATTGTAAGGAAAATGCCATGTAGGATCTATGCAACCCTCAAAGAGCTCAGCCTTGGTATGATGGAGAAGGAATGGAATGTATCATTCCATTGGAATGGACGATTCATGAATGAATGTAATTCCTTCCATTTTCTGGAATTTATGAAGAGGAACAATTTTGTTTGCCCTAAAGTTGCTTATGAAACAGCAACTGCTTTGCAGGTACAGTTAGATGAATTTTAATAAATTCAACTATATATATGAGAAACTAATATCTTGCTCTTTGATAAAACTATTACAAAAAAAAAGATTTACTAATTTCCTGTATTTCTTCTTGTAGAATGTATCATTCCATTGGAATGGACGAATCTTGAATGAATGTAATTCCTTCCATTTTCTGGAATTTATGAAGAGGAACAATTTTGTTAGCCCTAAAGTTGCTTATGAAACAGCAACTGCTTTGCAGGTATAGTTGGATGAATTTTACCAAATTCAACTATATATATATGAGAAACTAATATCTTGCTCTTTGATAAAACTATTACAAAAAAAAAGTTTGCTAATTTCCTGTATTTCTTCTTGCATTTGCAGATTTGCTCTTGATATTGACCTTGATGCTCCAAAAATTAGAATTCCTATAAGATTAAATGCCTCATCAAAGTATAACAGTCATTTTCATTTGGATTTTGGTCATTTTACATTGAGGAAAGAGGTATATTTTAATTAATCTTTGGGATATTTTTTGTTCCATCATTGATTTCTGATTCGGTGACCAATAAACTAATCCATTAGTATAACATATAAATGAAAGTATAATTTTATTGCAGTATTTTGGTTGCAAACTTTACATATGAATTACATGTGATTCACATGTAAATCACATGTAATTTACATATGATTCACATGTAAATCATAAGTGAATCACATATGAATTACATGTGATTCACATGTAATTTATATGTGATGTAAATCACAAGTGAATCACATATGAATTACATGTGCTTCACATGTAAATAACATGTAATTCACATATGATTCACATGTGATTCACATTTTAATCACATGTAATTCACATATGATTCACTTGTGATTCATATGTAAATATGAATTACATGTGATTCACGTGTAAATCACAGGTGAATCACATATGAATTACATGTGATTTACATGTAAATAACATGTAATTCACATATGAATTACATGTGTAAGTGATTCACATGTAATTCACATATGATTAATTTATGATTCACATGTAAATTACAAGTGAATTACCTATGAATTACATGTGATTCACAAGTTAATCACATATGAATTATATGTGATTCACATGCAAATCACATGTAATTCACATATTAATCACATGTAATTCGCATGTAAATCACAAGTGAATCACATATCAATTACATGTGATTCACATGTAAATCACAAGTGAATTACATGTGATTCACATGTAAATCACAAGTGAATCACATATGAATTACGTCTATATGTACACATGCATTTTGTGTAAGTGTTCTTCGTTAATTATTTTTTAAAATTTTCTTGTGAATTTCACATTTAAATCTTAAAAGATACAATCACATGTGAATATCACATTATATAATCACATGTGAATCTTACATGATATATATATGTGCGTATTCTTGTATTAATCAATTTTTTTCCTGTAGATTTTGAAGAATTTTTGGAAAATATTGAAGAGGTGAAAAGTGATAAATTGAAGAAAATATGGAAATCTTGATATGAAGAAATGATAACACTGTGAATCTTTTTAGTATTTTTATATTTTATTTTGTATCGAATAAAATACTTCTATTATGTTTATAGATTGATTAATAAAAATGAGATTTTTTATGATTACATACGAATATTATAGTATAAGAAATATGCATATATGCATTTGAAAAAATATGAATATATGCATCTAAAAACGTTGATTTTTTTGTTAAAAAAATGCAATTTTGAAAAAAATTGCACTTTTTGATAAAAATTGCGTTTTTTTTTGAAAAAAAATGCAGTTTTTCTGAAAAAGAAAATGCAGTTTTTTTGAAAAAAATGCAGTTTTTTTCTAGAAAAAATGCAGTTTTTTTTAAAAAAAAAATGCAGGTTTTTTTTGAAAAAAAAAATACTGTTTTTTTTTTAAATATTTTTTTTCATTTTTTTTGAAAAATTCATGTTTTTTGAAAAAAATTAAAAAATCTCCATTTTTTAAAAAAATCGAAAATTATTTTTTAAAAAAAAAATATATATTAAATAACACAAAAAATTAAACATTAAATGAGATTGGTAAGATGACGATCATGTCCTTAACAAATTACTTTTGATCCAACGCTCCACTTTTAGTTCTCGGGTTCTCGGGAAACTTTGAGTTGTCAACCATATATATATATATTACAATTACTTTTTTTTTCTCAACTAATATATATATATATATATATATATATATATATATATATATATATATATATGGTGAGATAATCTAGCATGTAATAATATATTACTTAATAAAGAAAAATTAAATATTCTCCTATATTTTATTTTTATTTATCTTCTTATTATATCAAATATTGATATGTGTCATATTTAATGATATATTTAATAAAATTAATATTTTTAATCCACTTGTCACTATTTAACATGGTAGAAGTAAGAAAATATTAAAAGAAAATATAGAAAGATATTTAATTTCTTTCTAATAAAAGCTTTTTTCATTTACTTTAGAGTATATATTTGGTACGTATGATATATATTAATAGAGATTTGGTTGTAATTTTGAAAACATGACATCATTAATACGTATTGTTGACAAAGCCATCAATTTTGGTCCCCTACCATGTTACCTTTAATGCCAATACGATAAATATATGTTAAATATATATGAAATGACTAAAATTTTCTTGTTGTCTGTTTGATTTTTTATTTTCCTAATTAATATTTTGTTATCAGAATTTAAAGTAAAATTACAGTTTTAGTCGCTATTGTTTATAGTTATCAACCATTTTAATATAGATTTTGAATGTTCTACATTATTCGTCTTTTTTCGAAGAAAAAAACACCACTTGTATTTGTGGTTTCCGAAAGTTGCATAGGTGGCTTCTAAGACTATTACCATCTAAATAGCTAGTTAAGTACGTGTAAAATTTTAAAGATTCTCATATTGTTTTTTTTTTCTCTTTTTCTATTGTTTTTTTTATTATTATATTTATTTCAATTAATAAATAAGGTTAGGGTTTTTTTGTTTGACATATTTAAGCAAGTTGGAGTTTCCACCAAGAAAAATGCACTTGTGAATTTTTGACTGACCCGGTAAAAGGAATGTCAACCTTTAGACCGGCTGATGTTTTGATATTTGGATGAGTTGGAGGGAAACATGTTTGTGTCGATCGTATAGGGTTATCCCCTCCCGTTTTGAGGATTGGGAGTTTGACTGTGGGGCAGACTGCTTTAAAAGTTGTTACATGAAAAATCACAAAACATGAGAAATCGTGCATCAAAAATCACCCGTGTTTATATCATTCGCGTTTGATACAATTTTAGTCCCTATGGTTTATAGTTATCAACGATTTTAGTATAGATTTTGAATTTTTGACATTATTCGTCTTTTTCAAAGAAAAAAACACGACTTGTCTTTGTGGTTTCCAAAAGTTCCCACAATGACTCATGAACCTCCATTCACAGGAGATACTTCAATTCCTGAAGAAGATGATCTCTCGTCATTCGAGGGGGAGAATAAAGATGCGAATGATGATTCGGATGTTCAATCAGAATTCGAAGAAATAAATGTTGAACTGGATCCCTCTTATGATCCAAACTATCTTCCTCTAACCAAATGGACCAGAGATCACCCAATAACCCAATTAATCAGCGAATCTTCTACAGGAGTTCTTACGAGATCTCAGCAAAAAGCGAAACAAACTGCATTATTCTCTAAAGTGGAATTTTGTATGTTTAACTCATTCGTTTCCAAGGTCGAACCCAAAACAGTTAACGTTGCTCTTGATCATTCTAATTGGGTGCAAGTGATGCAAGACGAACTCAATGAGTTTGAACGAAACAAAGTTTGGAGGCTAGTTCCAACCCCACTAGATGCATCAGTTGTAGGCTTAAAATGGGTGTTTTGCAACAAAATGGATAAAGAAGGGAATGTTATAAGAAACAAGGCGAGAATCGTGGTTAAGGGATATTTCTAGGAAGAAGGCATCGACTACGAAGAAACCTTCGCACCAGTTGCAAGGTTGGAATCTGTTCGCATCTTCTTGGCATACGCAGCGCATAAGAACTTTGGGGTATTCCAAATGGATGTCAAATGCGCATTCTTAAATGGCGAACGTGAAGAGACTGTTTATGTGGAACAACCACCTCGGTTCGTTAATGAGAAGTTTCATAATCACTGTTACATCTTAGACAAGGCTGTTTATGGTTTGAAGCAAGCTCCAAGAGCCTGGTATGAAACTCTCACTCGTTTCCTTAAAATGTCTAAATTTAAACAAAGTTCGGTTGACCCAACCTTATTTCGTAAGAAAGAGGGTGACCACTTGATGATCGTCCAAATTTATGTTGATGACATCATTTTCGGTTCTACGAATCCCAGTCTAACAGCTGAATTCAGAAAGTTGATGGAAACTAAATTTGAGATGAACTCCATGGGTCCAATTAACTTTTTCCTTGGATTGAATATAAGACAGGGACCGGAAGGCATTTTCATAAATCAGGAAGCATATACGAAGACTTTTCTCACTAAGTTTGGCATGGTGGGTGACTCTAAAGCGAAGGTTCCAATGGAATTCAGAACGAAACTGACACCATCTCTGGAAAAACCAGCTGCTGATATGACCCTTTATCGTCAGATGATAGGATCATTGATGTATCTAACAGCTAGTAGACCAGACATTATGTTTTATGTTTGTTATTGTGCTAGGTTCCAAGCAAATCCTCGCGAATCTCACATGGTGGCCATCAAAAATATCTTTAGATACTTGAAACGAACTCCATCACTTGGCATATGGTATCATGCGAACTCAGGGTTCTTCGTACAAGCGTTTTCGGATGCTGACCTTGGGGATGTGGATTAGATAGAAAGAGCACAACTGGAGGATGCCAATTTCTTGATGGCAAACTTGTCAGTTGGCAATCCAAGAAGCAAATGTGTGTATCCTTGTCAACAGTTGAAGCTGAGTATATTGCCGCTGCCTCATGCACATCCCAGGTTATTTGGATTCAAATCCAGCTTCGAGATTATGGCTTAAGTATGAAACGAATCCCATTATATTGTGACTCTGAAAGTGCTATTCACATTTGTCACAACCCAATGCAACACTCAAATACGAAACACATAGCACTGAGGTATCATTTCATTAAGGATCACGTCGAAGACGGCAACGTTGAAATTCACTTCGTAAGATCCTCTGATCAGTTAGCCGACATATTCACAAAAGCCTAGCATGAAACCACATTCAATAGAATTCTTCAAGGTCTAGGGATGATGGAAGCTGAATCTGTACCAAAACCTCTTTTGCATCAATAAAGTTTACACTGCGAATCGGTGCGAACGCTCGCAGTAGTTCGCAGTCAACTGTTCATTCGCATCCACTTCATCACTGCGA